TTATAGCTAGCAAACAATTAGGACTTCCTTTGAAAGAATTACCTTTTTGGATCACTACCTCTGAAGAGTAACCTATTTAAAAGGGTTTCTTTATGTGAAAGCAATGTATTTTTCAAGAACTGATTTCAGCAACAAAAACACACACAAAAAAAACCCTTCAAATAATTTATTCAGGATGTGACCCTGAATGTTTCAGAAGTTGTTTAAAGTTTGGCAGGATTTTGTAAAACTTCTTGGAATACTAGATTATTTGTAGCATTATGTTTTGAGGTTATATAAATTATAGAGGGAAGAACAGATGCTGCATAAAAATGAAATTAGAGCTTATGTAAATGCATGACAATGATTTGTATTAAAATAATGTTACGTTCTAAAATAAGTTATGTCAGCCATCAGAAATGTCCTATGTACAGGTGCATTATGAGAGCTCAACACTAACTTGCATAAGCTGTATGGGGAAGTATTTATGCACTGAGGACCTATTGAGTATTAAATATGGAGAAAAGTCTAAAATGCCAATAAAATTATTTTAATCTCACCAGAAGCAAAAAAAAGATATTAAAAACAGGATCATTCTTGAGGAAAAATCTTCCTTGTCTTGCACATATTGCCCTGAGGGTTTTGACTTGTACATCAGACCTGAATTTCTGAACATATTCATTTCCCTCCCCCTCATCTATTTCAGTACTGTTGCCCTATACCACCCACTGTGTATTCATACATGCAAAAAGCTACATTAAAATAACATCAAGGTTGAGAAGTCATGCACTCAGAAATTAGGAAATGCAAGTATTCAGGTGGCTTTATATTCTTTGTGTGTATGCATTATTATACAGTCTTTAATTACATGGGCACATATTTTCTCAAGACCTTGCCTCATTGAATTCACAGAATGAGTCTTGAATGTGTAATTAATGTGTCTGTTGGCTGTAGGATCCCTGCCTCATTTGTTGCTGGAAGATGGAAGATGTATAATGAATGAGGCAAGGGATCACAGGAGAAGAGTGATCTTGTGGTCTAGGTAGTAGAATGATGACTGGAAGAATTAACTTCTGTCCCTACTTAATGCAGAAATTAGTTTGTGCAGTTCTTTAACTTGTCTTGTGCTACATGTCTGACTAGATGATCCTAACAGTCCTTTTTTGTCTTAAAATCGATGAATATCAGAAACAGTGGGAAAACAATGTAATTACTTGCCTTACCCCTGTTCTAAGCATCAACCAGATTATTTTTTGCTGATTTATTTTTTACAAAATATTAAGCCTGAGGCAGGCACCCAGGCATAGGCAGGCACTCAGGCATAGAAATTTTCACCCTAAATGTTTTAAAGTTTGGCAAAGTCTATAAAACAATTGAAAACAGTGCTTTATAATGAAAAGTGTCAGGTGAACTTAATTAATACTAAACTATCTATAATGCTATCTGAAATGGACAGAGAGCCTTCATCTTGATGAATTTCAAAGTGCTTTATAATAATCTATTTATACAAGCAGAGTGGTCCTTATCTCTTTTTGGGACTATGAAACAACTATAGAATCTGTCAGTTTAATACCAGAGCAACTGGTAAGTAATTTGTAATGACAGAAAGTAAAATGAAAACAATAGGCAACTAACTACGTGTCACATGGTTAAAGCCAACTTTGTATTGTCTTCCTAGTTCATTTCTACGGCTGAAATTCTATGCTTAACAAAGATACACAATGGGTTAACAGAGAAAATTAGGAATATTATACTAAATTGAAATTCAGTGAGAATTTAGGCTGGATAAAAATTAGTCCCATATGGCACTGAAACACATCCACTGTGGTTTTCTTTGCTTCCTATGGGAAGAATGATTTCTGATTTTTAATTGAAGCAAGTTAATATCAAAACATAGGGCATGATTCTGCAAACACTTATGAAGATGATTAGTACCATTGAAATCAAAGGGATTTCTCACATTGTTTTTTGAGAGCAAGTGTTTTCAGAACCAGAGCCATAGTGTATAAAATCAGAAGACAAAGATAGACGTAAAATAGTGAACATCTCTACCATTTATACCGGAACAATTTTGCACTGAAAATATTTGTAAAGTATTGCTTTGGCAGATTAACAAAAACATGTCTTGCTTTTCAGCAGAAAATATTTAATAATTTCACCAAAGCAAACCATTTCTCTCCCCTCCATTCCAAACTCATCTAGAAACTGTTGATGCATGAGTATTGGCACTCCTATTTCCAATATCAGGAAGGTTTTTAACCAGACATTTTAAAAACTTCTTTTGAAACCATTAATCAATTACATCCCCTAAGTCTATACTTAACTTGCCTATCCACTGTAACTTTACAAACTGGCAGTGAAGAAAACTAAATCTTTTTACCTAGCTTTAGTCACCACTTTACCTAAACCCAACAGTACATTTCAATCAGCTTTAGATGGGGACATACAGTATTTTCAAGTAATGCTCTCTCTCTCTGGATGAAATTTTAACAGTGATTGATGAGACTAGCAATATATGCTTTTAAGATGAAATTTTTTTATACTGGCAAAAATTCACATATTTGGTCCAGGATAATTTTCCCCTTGTCTTGCAAAAGCATGTGTTCTGGTGAAATTTTGTAAAATTCAGATATGAAACAAATCTCTATATCTCCATTTAAAATGTGTGAAATTGAAGTGTCCTTTGAAAATCACCAATCACCTCTTATTAAAAATATTTAAAGAGCACATATTGAGATAAGAATGGAAAATGCTGTTCTTTTCACAAACTCATTAACATTTGATGAGTTTCTTTCTTTTTTGTCTTGCGGAATTCTAATTAGAATCTATGTAAAAGATACTTTCATTATTCACAGATTATTGAAGCAATATGAAAGTATCTTCATCTTTATTCCAAAGCACATCTGTTTAGTTTAATTCCAATATGCTTTGAGTTTTCCCTAAACTCTTCAACTGATCATAGTGTTACATTATGGCAGGGTATGCATGGACTGATGCTAAAACATCCCATGTGTGTTGTAATGCATCAAAAATTCTTCTAAAACTGATAAAATGTCTAGATCTTACTACTTGCTTTATTACAAATTGTGCAAACTTAAACTGCTATGGTGAATAGTAAGTGTAAAAATGGCATTAAGAGGTTATCCATCTATTACTTTCAAATCAAATCATGACCATGTCTACATTAGAGAATTTACAGTGGTACAGCTGTACAGATGTAGGGGCATGACTATTGATCACACATGTAGCCATTCTGTGCTGACAGGAGAGAAGTAAACTAACCCCAATGAGTGGTGGTGGCTATGTCAGCAGCTGATCATTGCACACTGATGTAGAACTGTCACCACCAGTTCTATTGGTGTAATTTATGCTGCTCAGGGAGTATTTTTTCACATCCCCAAGAAACATAAGTTATACAAACAAAAGTGCCTAGTGTACACATGGCCTCAATGTTCCAAGAGCTCTGACAATAAAGATTGAAAAAGGTTGAATAACATGTCATTCTCAGTCCCAGGAGTGCAATTCAGAAGTGCCTACATTCTACTCCTATAATCTGATCACAAGGCCACTGTGTGTCTGGGTTTTTATATAAATTGCTTTATTACAATGGAATATCTGTCTATCAGATGCCAATTTCAAATACGCCTCTCATTATGGTACCAAAGCATTCCTTTGAATTTTCTTGAGGAACATATATTATTCATATTGTTGTCATTTGAATTCATAATGAGTCACAAAATGAGTTTGTATTAATTGCCTGCATATTGTGAAGTATTACTATATTCCCAAAGTACATTGATAGAATAGAAAATAAATAAACATAAATAATTTAGAAGCCAATTAATATCTGGTATTCTTTTTGGATTTGGTCCTACAAACAATTACACATATGCTTAACTTGATTACCCTGGGTAGTCCCAAATCAATGGGGCTACTTACAGTAGTGAAGTTAAGTATTTACTATTTTCAGTATTGGAGGCTTTGTCAAGATATATTATTTTTAAGATAGTATGGATTCTTTAAAGAAAAATACAATAGGGACATATGTTCTATATTCCAAGTTTAACCCCCTTGATGTTTTTAGTTTTGCATACTTAATTTTACATTTCACAAAAGATGCATCCTTGTTGTTATGTTGTATACTTACAGGTTACCTGTAATTTCTTTGACATTTACATAAATATCCAATGTAGAAAAAAATTTACACTAAATCTGAAGAACTGCAAACAGACTTTGTAATTTATCAGCTCTAATTTCCCTAATTTTCATTTCAGACACGAGTGAACCCCATCAATGTCACTCCACCAATAGAAGCTATAGATCAGGACAAAAACATCCAGCCTCCTACTGATCGACCACACATCGTCTATTCCATCCTACTTGGTTGGTATCTGCTAATCTTGCTGTCATTCATAATCAGTCACGGTATTAGAATCAGGCAGAGAAAAACTAAGTGGAAAAGCTGAAACAATAATAAGTTCACGTTGTGGTTGATAGGGTCTTTGATATTTTTCCACTCAACTACATTTTATTGCAGTTTTGTTATTTTATCCATTTTGGATTATTAAATATATTGTTATTTATTTAGATTAGATTCAGAATCTTCCGCTTCAGCCAGTGAAAATAAGGAATCAGCCAAGGAAGAAAAGTATGAAAGATGCTTATCCGCACTCTCAGTTAGACCGTGTTCCAATTCTGCTGAGGAATAGCGAGATAAGATAATAATCCTGGGCTCTTTTTCATAGGCACAAACACAAACTGCGCCTCTGTCTACATTATAAATGCTTTCTTCATACAGATATACTGGCAGAGTACCCTGTTGTTGATGTAACTTATTCTGACTGGAGTTCTGTTGGCATAAGAACACTGCCTCCTTGAATAACAGTAGGTAGGCCCACAAAAACATGTCAGCATAACTGCATCCACAATGGGGTTTTGCCAGCATTGCTGTGTAAGGAGATGACTAGGGTGATTTTGCTTCTAAAAACCAAACTGAACTTTTCTTCACAGAGAAATTTGGGTTTATCTTGGTATCATCCACTTACTCTTTATTTTTTTGCATTTAAAGCTGTAACCTGCCCCTTCTCCCTTGCATCAGATTGTATTCAGAGTCCATAATCTCTCTTGACCCTGGGCAGTTCAAGAAGGGGTTCATGCAGATACCCCTTTCTTTATTGTGGGGGACTTGTATTCTGCCATTTTACCTTTACCTTTTGGACAGGTATGAGTAAATTCCTCCAATTCTTCTATGGGCTAATAGGAAAAAGAGCTAAAACAATGATTGACCATCCCAGCCAAACCTCCCCTCCCCACAGGATATGAATTCCAGGACATGTTCTCCTCAGTGATATTCCTCTGATCCATGAACTGAGAAATTATAGGGTTTGCATAAACACAGGGGTCCCATGCAATTTGCTTGTAACCTTCAGATGACTGGATTTTTTTTGAGGAAGAGGAGGAAATGATGCATTTTTAAAATTCAAATGTATAATAGGAAGATAACTGGAACATACTAACGTACACACAATAAATCCTGTTTTAAATCTTTATGGGGAAAAAATAAAGTGATCGTTTTAGTAATACCTTTATTTTTATTTTAGTCTACAAAAGGAACCTTTTTTGGTTTGAAATATGCCTTTTCTTTTCCTGTATGCACTGCTTTTCAGCTTGCATCCCCTGCTACTGGGGATTTTAAATAACTTCACAAGAAGCATCATGATATACATTGGTGAATTGACAGCCTTCATCTGTAAAGGAGTTGAACTAGATTATTCAGTGAATTTAGTGTGCTATATGAGAATGCAGGCTGATATTCTAAGTTTTTGAAGCAGTTTGTCAACCATATCATTAAAATGAATTATCTGCTGGTCTCACTTTTCAGCTCTTTCTCATTACATGGTCTACAATGGGGAAATCCCTAAATGTGAATCTCTATCACAGATATTGTAAGATTTCACTTTGCTGTTGGAAATTACTTAAACTAGAAGTACTGGACGATGCAGTGAATGTACTATTTTTACTAATTAGATAATAATTGAACATTTTTAAATTTGCTACATTTTTTTCTGTGGCCCATTTGAGTAACTGTCCTACATTTGCACCATGGCAGGTCAAGTTGCAGAATGCAGTTAGATCTCCCTGAGCATTGTTCAAGTTACTGTGTTCAAATAACAATTCACCTAATTTTCCCATTAGGAATAAAAGTTATTAGGAGATAATTTGTTTCTCAGAGAAGCATGTGATTTTGAGTCCTCTTGCTTTAAGGTATGTTGTGACTGTTAAGCTTTCACTTGGGTATTGACCCTCATCCTCTTCCGAGTGTCTGACACAAGGTTTTGACCGGAATTTAATGGTGCTTTCGGATCAAACTAGCTGATGCACCTTATGGCAAAGGCTAATGTCTACAGAACTAAACTTAACAATGTAACACTTTAATACTTGATTTCCAATTGTATAGCATCTGTCATCTTGACATTTGAAAACCTGACATTTGGAAACTTTTCATATGTTATCTTTTACATTCATTGACATTCAGGATTCAAACCATATTTCAGTAGAGATGGCAGGTCTACATATACCTACTTACCCAACCTGTGGGTAGCTCCTGACTCATGAATATTTTTTCATATTATATTGTCATCTGGTTTCAGATATATCAGGGATAGTCAAACCATGACTTATGAGCCATAAGCAGTTCTTTTACTGTTAAAGTGCTGCTCGCAGAGACCCTCAGTTCTCCCCATTCTCTATCTACCCAACTAGGAAGGGAGCTTGGGACCTCTGCCTTACAGTGGGGTGATGTGGCAGGGGCTTCTCAGGCAAAGGGGTGGGGTCTCAGGCTTCAGCACCCATAGGGTGCACCTGCTGGGTTTCAGGGCTTCAGTAGGAGTGGTACTAAATCCCTGATCCCTGGCAGATGCTCTCTAGCTTTCAAACTGAAGATTGCTTTATGCAGCTCAGAGGATAATACGTTTGGCCACCCCTGCAGTATGTAGTGTGGCACATTGGCAGCATCATACAAGATTGCACATTTTAACAATTCTTGAAGAATTCTTAGTATCTCTATATACATAGAGGCTGTGTCTAGGCTACTTCCCTCTTTTGACAAAGGGATGTAAATTAGACACTTTGAAATTGCAAATGAAGCGGGGATTTAAATATCCTGCAATTCGTTTGCATAATCGCGTAATGGCGCTCTTTCGAACAAGTGCCATTTTGAAAGTAAAACTGCCATCTAGAAAACGGCAGGCTTTTTCAAAAGATCTTGTACTCCTCCTGAACTGCCATTTTCGACAGAACAGCGTCTAGACAGTGGTTTTACTTTAGAAAGAACACCATTATGCAGTTATGCAAATGAAGTGCAGGATATTTAAATCCCCGCTTCATTTGCAATTTCAAAATGTCTAATTTACATCTTTCTGTCGAAAGAGGGATATAGTCTAGACAAAGCCAGAAGTACCACATGCAATACTAACTGCATATTCACACGTCAATAACAACACTTTTGAAGTAAGCATCCAGTATGTAAAAATGTCAAATAAAGCCCCGCATAGGATTTTAATGGAATTAATCTGTTTTCTTAAGACAACAAGCAAGAAAATCAAAATAATCACACAGATAGACGTCTCAAGGAAGCAATGGGAGAGCTGTTAATTGAGGGATTCACCTTACATGGATCCCTTCCAATAGAGAATTGTTTACTCTTCCCAAAGTTAGGCCTACGATGAAAGGAGGATCCTATGTTAGCACAGGGCCAGTGTTCCCTGTAGGCTGTGTACTTGTATGACTGCTCAGGAAAGATTAAAATGCCACTCAGTTGCATCACAGCGTGCACGCAGCAAGGCTTTCTGTTTCCAATGGTGGTGCACATTCACACATGCCTTGGTGCACATAAAACGTTTATTTCACACACAAATGGAAAAGGTTAGTGGGGACATTGAACAGGACCCCAGACCTAGAAAAGGGTGGGGAGTAAGTTTGTGTGGCCAGAGTTGTCCCCGAGTACTGACATGGGTGCATGAAGACTCAGGGACAAAGGGAGCTTGCTGTTAGCAGGACAGCCTTTTCTCTCAGTAAAAGAAAAATGGAGGTAATTGGACTATATGAAATGTACCAAAGCTTGCAAGGAAAACTTAAGAGTTTAGTAAAGAGAAATACTCATATGCTCAAACCTAAAACTTTATTGTTTTGCCCTTTTTTCCAGGTGCTTCATAATGCTGGGCGAATGAATGGCTATTTTCTTTTGAAGGTGCTGTTTGTGTCAAAAGGGAAACTTACTGTTGCCAAACTCAGTCAGGCCTGTTGCTTTTAAATGGTTAGGCAATGGAGGATGCTGCCACCCAGGGATTCATTCCCCAAGTGGCTGAACTGTGTGGCTCTGCCCAAAGAGGGTTATAAATCTATTCTCCTGAGCCTTTATCTGTTTCTGTTCCTTTATTGTTCTTTGTCATGTATACAGATGATTTCTCTTGTTCTAAAGAATTTGAAGGCTGCCCTGGCTATTGGAATAGTGCCTTTAAGGCTACTGGCTTGACATTTTCTTAACGAGCCTTACATGAAAGCTATTAGTTGCTTTTAGGCAACTTTTAGAAAGGGCTGCCTACCTCTTGTCCTGGTTGGGTAGCTTTTTACTCTCCAGACTCACCCAAAATATCTGTTTCCAAACATTCTTCAGAAATATCACGTCAGTGATGAATATAGATACAGTGTTAATAATTAGTAAAGAGCACCCTCGTACCTTTCATACAGGGATCCAATAAATCATCCATGTATGTATATTATCAATACAAATAATTGATATACTTAAAATTACATACATACACTCTCAAATAACTGATAAATGTGGTGTGAAGTTTTTATCACTATTTGTTTAAAATGGCCTCTGTGTGTTGCCTCACCACTGTTAAGTAGTATGGCCATCTCAAATTAATGAAATCTTTCTAACATATTCTATGAGCATTTGTTTTGCTTCTGGGAGTTATGTGCACACAGGTATGTGTGTAATATTTTACATAAGTTCTCTCCATTTCCGGTGTATTAATTAAACATTTAACTCTTGCATACACCTGTTTTCATGATATTTTTGTAGTTTTGATACCACCCTTGAAAGCTACTGATTTTTCTGGATACTTCTATAAAGCAGAATCCAGCATTCATGCTATTCATTTGCTCTCTCTCTCTCTCTCTCTCTCTCTCTCTCTCAAATAGACGAAAGTGTCTATTCAGTACAAGATATTGCTTTTTCAGTATGCTATAACAAAGATGATCAGGGTATATTTTAGCTCACACATCGAGTTTCTTTAGATACTGTCAGAGTTGATAGCTTTCATTCCCTGTGGCAAGGCTCCTAAAAGGGTAGAATTTCCATAATGGAGCCCAGGGCT